CTCTGATTATACTGCGTTGACCCATGACATCAGAGGTGGATGTTGGTGGTATGGCAATAGAGCTTAAACCTTCCCACCTATATCCTGCTACATTTTGTTGCTACGTGACAGATGGCAGCAGAGGGGCAGTCTGGCAAAATGATGTCTGACATGGAAGTGTGTACAAAGCAAACGTGTCACTGAATTCCTCCATGTGGAAATAATGGCATCTGTTGACATTCATCAACACTTGCTGAATGTCTGTGGAGACCAAAGAGTGGATGTGAACACAGTGAGGCAGTGAGTGGTGCATTCCAGCAACGTGAAAGACAGGCCATGCTCCAGACGGCCATGCAGATTTTTATGAGAGCGGGATACAGGCTCTTGTTCATCACTGGCAAAAAATGCAAAGCTAATAGTGGTGACTATATTGAAAAACAGTGTTTTGTAGCTGAAAGTGCACTCTATCAAACAGTATTATTGTGTTCTTTGTATCTTTGTAGTTTCAATGGAAATAAAGAGGAAGCATTAATTTTAGAGCAGTTTATGTATAAATAATTGCATATGCAACAAGAAACCTTACTTCTAGAGCAGGGAAGGGGCAAGAGCCATATATTGCTCTACATGTAAATAAAGGATTCTGTTACCAGGCTCTTACATTACAATGTCAACACTAATACGGTAGCTATGGAAAGAAGAAAAGCAAGCAGGACTGTACAGGAAATCAGCTGGATAGAATGTAAGGTAGCAGAGTGATGTACCCTTGGCAGTTTTTGTATATGCCAAAAAAGAAAGATATAAATGACACACAGGACGTGATGCAAAATAAAACATTAATTTTGATGTGTTTTCCCTACTGATAAAACATTAATTTTGATGTGTTTTCCCTACTGACTGTCTCATTCCATCTCTTTTCTCCCTCATTTCAAGGAAGGAATTCTTGTCTTGGAGGAGGTAATAAATACAAAATCGATGTAGATTTGGATGAGCAGATGCTGGGTTTATTGCATAGCAGGCTAAGACCAGATGCTGTCATCAAAAAGTACCAATAAGAGTGCCTGTGCATTCTGAGGTATAATTACACAAGAAAATGCTAAAAAGAGGAGACAACGATGGTTAAGCAGAAGATGAACTAATAAAACTGGAGAAGAAAGCTAACAAATGAAAATAGTGGTGACCTGTAATGCCGATTAAGAAATGCAAAAAGGAAAGGAAAGAGGAAAGCAAAGGCAATGATTTTTTAGGGACTAGTCACTGAAGATGATGAAATTAATTTCACTGAAATGAAATGGGTGTCTGTAGTGAAACCAACAGCTTGTAAAATAGTCCTTTACTCAAGGAAATTAGGAAAGTAGGAGAGAGGTAGATGAAGCTGCTGGAGGAAGGAAAATGGAAGCATAGGTGAGTAGGAAGTATTGAGGGAAAAGTCACATAGAAAAATACAAAATCACCTTAGCAAAACTCATTACAGATCATGTTGGACAAAACATGCAGCCGAAGATGTGATGCAGGAACACTCACACTCAAGTGTGAATCCATAAACCATACCTGTGCCTTTTTCCACTCTATCTCTGACTCACATTCAACTGCATTTGAGTGGTACTAAATGTCTTCAGCCTGACCATGAAATAATATTCTGAGGCATGCACAAAGCTGCTTAGAAGTCAGTGGAGCACTACAGATATCTGCTTACATGCATCAAAATGCAGAGGACCACATGTGCAGAGAATGCTCATTCTTATTGCAAAATTATGAACCTTGTTTTCCTCTTTTCCTCCACACAAAAAATGAGAATACTATTGGAGCAAGAGTGACACTATTCACATGTTCTTCCTGAAGTGAAAAGGTTAGCTTTAAAACATCCATGCTTAGAAACAATAAAGTCTATATGTCTAAGTCATTTCACTGTCACTCAGAATCAGTTTGGCAATCATACAAGCAAAAGAACTTTGCCTTTCTCTTGCTCTGTTACTCAACATATTTACCTAATCCACCACTGAAATCACTGTAAAGACACAGTATATTTGTCAGGACTAGGAAGCCACTTTTATCCTAGTGGACTCTTTCAAGTGCGCCAGTTGCAAAACCATCTCTACACATATTTTTGGTAAACTATCAAGAATCACAATTTGGTGTCCTCTAAATTAAGAGCTTCTATCTGAATACAGTTACACTGCTGCTATTGGAAGTGTTTTTCCTCATGTGAATGGATACAATCAAAGATACGAAAACCATTGGTGGCTTTTAGGCAGGAATTAGAGCATTTCACTAGTAAGAATGCTTTCATAATCTTGGAGCTCAAACTTTTTTTTCATGCTGAATGACTGAGTTTTCAGAGCCCTAAGATAATAAGGAAAATTGTAGAACCTTCCCTTTCAAACTCCATTTGACTAAAGAAACAAAAACAATGGAATGAAAATAAAGATAAAATGTTCAGGAAACACTGTGTGTTTCCCGAAACAAAATTTCACAAGAGGCATGAGAGGTGGCATCTTTAACCGATGCCACCACCACATAAGCCATGCCATGCTAATCATTGGTTCACTAAATGTTGAGGATTATTTGTTATCTGAACATGTCAGCTTACACATTAACAAATACTAAGCTAAAATCTGACTCTGAAGTATCAGCAATCACTGATAACATCAGCATGTGAAAAAAAGACTAAATATAAAAACAGGCCTCCATATTTTGATCTGCTCATTGTCATCCCAGAGGTCCTTTGTATCCAGTGTGTCAACTTCCATGTATTACTTTTTTTTATTGTGATCACATAGAACATTTTCAGAGTTTTATGCTTGCCAGAAAAGTGCTTGGATGGGGACAAGGGATGTTTTTCCTTGGTCTAGGATACCTCCAGAAGTGTATCTTTCTCACTCTCCATGATAACCTTAAGAAATATTTCTTTCATGTAAATTCAGTCTGTTAACACATAACAAAGTAGAACTTCATGGACCACGTTTCTAGTCAGATCTATTCCTCGCCCCACCCAATGCTGCATGCCCACTTTTACAGACTTACAAGAGCAAAACTATTCACCTTTGTTAAGGTACTTGGCTTTCCATTTTCTTTGTGTTTGCTCCATCCTGGTTTGTAAACACAGAGCTTGAGATACAGCACAGAGATTTTGCAAGTTTCAGTTATGATTGCACAAGAAAGAGACAGAATTAGGTAAAAGAAAACCTGCTGTTTGTGTTTTCCAGATTTGGAAATTTTCCTTTTCATCATTGTTTGCTAGGGAATTTGGAGCCCTTGCAGAATTTAGGAACCTTCACTGACATAGCTTTGCCTCCTGAATCTCCTCTCCGAAAACAGCTAGCAAGATAAGTTCTCCCTGATAACCATGGGCCATCAAAGTTTAGTGACCTGTCATGGGCACCCTTGCAACATCACTGCTAGGAACTTCATCTAAATTTGGACTGTGAATGTAGTTAAGACAGCAGAAGGAGGGATGAGGCCTATACATAAAATGGAGCTTACTGTATGATAAAGGTCTTTACACAGAGCTTATAACCTCCAAAGTAGAACTCATGATTTGCATATGCCATGAACAGCCAGAATTGAGAAGTTCTTTCTCCAGTCTGCAGCAGTCAGCATTCATGCTCATAAAGAGGAAGGAACAGAAGCAGAAATTGTGTTCCACCATATCAGCCTTCTATAATCAGACTATGCACTCCAAAGACCTATCTTTATTTTTTGGTGCAGTGGGAGGAGGAAGGATGGCATTTTATCTCACATATTACTTGGTGAGCTTTCTCTTTAGCCTGGAAGAGCCTCTCAGCTGCAACATGAACGCATCTTCTGAGGGTCATCAGAGCATCACTGAGCCCATGGCTCTGAGCCATGGCACAGTAGGTCACTGCCTCTGCCCGCTGCAGCTCAGGACACAGCCTCTGTTCTTTAACCAGAGTATTCCACAGTAGAGTACCTTGTTTCAAAGTGGCACATTTTCTTAATGACTTGAATTTTGGCTAAGGACAGTTCTCAGTATGTCAGTGAAAAGTGGGAGACTGGCTGTCACAAATCATAAAGAGAAACATAAGAGGGAAAAAGAGGGAATGACATTCTTAGCTCACAATGCATGTTTAAAATATCTTATTTTATCTGACTTTTAAAGATCCCTTCTGTTGTCAGATACATCCTCATTCTGCTAGCAATAATCTCCATTCTGTCAGAAACATAAAACTGGCCTAGAGTTCAAAGGGGGAAAAATCTTTACACATATTTCACTTTACTACATATACACAACTGGCTACATTAGCTTCTACCTTATAGTCTGCAACTCAACTTTAGTATTTACATACTAATTGTCATTCATTTTTAAATACTCATTGAATGGGGAGGAACAAATAGAGCACAGTGGCAAATGACAGGCACAGTACAATTCCAGGTACCAAACATGGCAGATGAAGTGATTGTCTCCTGCTCTGCCCTTGTGAGGCACCACCTTCAGTAGTGAGTCCAGGCCAGGGGCTCACAGCACAAGACACACAGAACTGTCAAAGGGGGTCCAGAGGAACAATATGAAGATGATCCGAGGGCTGGATCACCTCTACTCTGACAGGTATTTTATTCACATTTTGTTTTCAATTATACTGACCACATAGTTACGAATTACTGAGGGCTAATACCTATACTGATTCTACAACAACACCCTAGCTCACTGAATGCTACCCAACTGAAGGAAGCAGTGAATAGCTGGCAGTTCAGTGGAATACCAAGTCAGCTTGATATTTAGAGAATTCATTACATATGTTTCCAAAAGAAGCATGACTCAGATACATGTGATCAAGAGCATTTGCATAGAAATTGGAGGCAGGTGTTTGCTAGCAGGCAAAGCACAAACTGTCAAAGCAATGAACTGAGTTGAAAAGGTGGGCCTTTGGCTTACTGCAGAAAAAAGTCTTTTTGACTATGACTGTAACAGTAAATACGGGATTAAAGTTTTAAAGTTCCGGTGCCTAACTATCTTAAAAAAAAAAAAAGAGAGAGAAAAAGAGAACAATTTATACATTCTGTGGTATTTTTTAAATAGAAGATGCTAGATTTTCAGATACTAAAAACCAACAGCCTATATGATCTAGAATGAAACATGGCTTAAACATACAGAATACTGTTACTGAACTATAGCAATGTGTATTTAAAAATAAAAACTGCACTGTTTTCAAAGTCTGCATTCTCCAGATACAAGATACAGTAAGTCAACCAAGACATCATAACGAAATAATCCTCTCCTATGCACAAGAACACTTAATAATTTTTACGTTAAGCTTTGCTTTAGTATCTGTAAATCTGCATGCTCACCACTTAACAGATACTGTAACTCTCTGAAAAAAGCTGAAATACAGACTTGTGAAATGTGGTGAATTGAGTAAATCACTTCAATTGTACAGCAGAGGCATTTTTCTTTCTTTGAATAGGACTGTATATTTGTTCAGGGCTATATCTTATCATCATCAGCAACTTTTTCCATTAAATCTCTTTTTTTCTGAAACACAGTACTGCAACTGATACTGTTTGATCTCTACAGCTCTTGCACAGCCTTTCTGACTTTGAGATGTCTAAGGTTTGTTCACAAGCTGTTACTAAATTTGGCTGAACTAATCCTCTTTTCTGTTTCTGATATTAGTATTATAAATACAACTGAGCCAGTTCCACTGGTAGGCAAAACCAACTTCTTTGGAAGGAGACCCAGCAGCCAGCACATCTTGGAGACCCAGTGACAGCCGATTGTTTCCTGAGAGTGTCTTATTATAGTGATAATTGTTGCTAACCTCCTGCTTTTGTCTATGGCAAAAAAGGACATGGTGACAGCGTTAGTACAAGACAGAGGTATTTTTAAGACAGTAATACAGGTATTTATATATAATACAGGTAAGACAGTTGAAATACAGGTATGTCAACTACCAGTTTCTCTATTCTTTCATCTCCCTTTTTTCTGAAACACTATTAATATGTAATAAGCACTTCGTAATGATTTCAACTCTATACTATCAGAAGTAAATCAAGTAGAACCGTATTATATGAAGAATTACAGTTCCCTGGCTCTTACTACAGCACAAACTTCTGCAAGAAGATGCAGAACTGTTAGAGCCAATGACTTTGATTATACAAGTGAAAATGTAAGGGGAACAGATGACCTAATTCCCTGCAGGTGAAAAATGGTGGACCTTCATCCTAAATCCGCACTGGTCTGACTGGCTAACAGACTGCTGTTTGAAAACTTGCATTTGTTCCTCCCTCCTGATCTTTTCTTTTTTCTTGTCTGAGTAAAGAAAGATTTGCTTATTGGCATATCCCGAGCTGCTGAGTTTTATTCTGCTTTTTACATAATAAGTTCTTTGTCCTGAAAGCAAAGAAATGTGATGACTATAGCTTTTGTTCCAAGATCTGGGCTGAGTTTTGGGCCATTAAGGCTCTTTCCAATTGTAAGATGTCACTCCCTCAGGCTTTCTATGTAATGGGTGATAAAGGAGTTGGAAAGCAAATTTACTGCCTCTCTTTCTTAAAGGCCTTCTTTTTCATCCTTGACAGTGGAAACGAGACCTTTACAGCTGATGCTATTGGGTTTCTCCTGAGTGTCTTATTCTTCAGTGTCATTAAGAAGATAAGTTATCCTTTCTAAAATCTCCTCCTCCTGTTCACTTTCAAGGTCATGTTTTTGCATGGCTTCAATGTTAATGTGCAAGAAGTTCCCACCAAGCGTATGGGAACTCTACAGAATGTTCTGGATGAGGACTGCATTTATTTATCATGGCTCTTGTATTTTTTCTGGGGGTATCGGATATTACAGACAACCACAATTTTCCAGTGAGCCTGTAAGAACTGGAGCTGCTTTTATGTCATGTGATATTCTCCTTCATCCTTTTTCCCAGACCTCTGCTTCTCTGGAAGCTCATCACTGTAGACAATATTCATGTTCATAGAGCAGATTATTTCTGATAATTCCATAGTTTCAGTGGCTGAAACCTCTTTGCACAGGCAGCATAAATTTCTGTTTGCAGATGGTCTTTATTCTGCTTAGTTAACAATGATACAGCAAATTTCTAATTCTCTACCAACAGTGAATTAAAAAGATCACAATCTTTAAAGACCGAAAAAAAAAAACCAAAAACATTTTCTCCAAATTCTAACGAGTTTCCTATGTACCAATAGCTTTTGGGAGCATTGTGCCTCTCTTAATGAGGGGCACATATTCAGGAAAATGCCCAAACTGCACCATTTTTCACATACGTGTAGTCTAGTAATGAAGAATGATCATTAGAGATGGTGAGCACAGCCACACTGTAGAAAGACTTAAACTTCACTGAGTCTAGGGTGTAAACAGTGCAGTAAACAGACCTGCCACTCTATTTGTGGAAGAATTGTCCCCAGTGGGACAGAATATGCACAAGTGAGTGCACTGTAAGGACTCCAGCCGCATTCTGAGACATCCAGAGCTGGGGATGGCTGGAGACAAAGGCTGCTACTTTGTAAAAACCTGCTAAGTGCCAACACTAATTAATCCCAGTGTATTTTGGGGACAGGAATCCTCTCTTAGTTGTACACATCCAGTCCCCTTGCACATAGGCCAGGGCCTACTGCCAGTCCTGCAATACAAATGTTTCTTCACAATCATAAAAGCATGGGATCTGAAAAAAGTCCTTGAGAACAAGAGTGGCAGAAGGATTCACATCCCTGCTTGTATCATGGAAGGCAGACTCAGACAAAACCGTTGCCTTGTCCTCTCCCAGGCTGTTCCTCTTTGGCAGTGCTGAATATGGAGCAGGGGTAGAGAGGCCAGCAGGCTGAAGCAGATACTATGCTCCTGATGCTCTGTCTGTTTGCTTCTCTTCATTGTAAGCAGAGTGCTCAGTCAGCACTCAGACACTCAGAAACACGTGACACAGCTAAAAAGAACACAGAAACACCCTAACCACACACAGTTCCCGTTTACCTCAATCTTGATTCAACCAGATGAGGATGCTATGCTTCTGAGACACAGAAGTAAGCCTCTACTGTCTCTCATTTGCTCTTCTTACAAGACACCTTGTACCATTCACATCATAAAATCATTTTAAAAGCTCATTTTTAATTAACTAGAGTAACATAACTAGAGCTTCTTGGTCACTGCATTTATGCAGACACCAGCATATTTAATACCCTTGTTTCTAAAATGTCACACTTCCGAAGTGAATATACTGCATCATATAGAGCTTGTGATAGATATTTTTCTTGTAACGGCTCATTACTGTAATTGTGGTTGCTATGCTTTCAGAAGGACTAAAGCAGCGTAATTCAAATGGATGGAAATACACAGACTGTGATTTTCAAAGTGCCCTAAGGGAGTTAAGCAATTCTCTCTTAGTGTAGACTGCATGCTTTCCCCTTCAATGTTCTTCAGGCACTTCTGATATTACTAAGAATATGCTATAGCAGCAATGTTTAAAAAGATTTTCAAACCAGAATGCTTGCCTGCTATTTGGGATGCTGGGAGAACACATAAGCGAAGAGAAAATGGGAAGGTATTTCATGTATTAAGATTATCCTAAATCAGGCTCAATGGCAATGACAAAGCAAACACTAAAGCTCGGCTCTGATTTATCATTAGCATGCAAAATAGAAGAAATGAACAGATAAGCTACCCTGTGAGCAGTGATAAAAGGGCATTGCTAAACCCTTGCAAATTTTGTTTAACGTGTTATCTTTGAAAATCCTTCTTTATGAACTTGAATCTCCGTTGTCTTCTCTCATTATATTTTTCCTCATGTGACTGAGCAGCCTCCATCCTCAAGCTCATCTCTCTCCTGTCACCCCCCACCCCCACGCTCATTCTGCTGGAGCATAAAATGAACAGAGCTTCATTTGTTCACCCGTGCCAGCACCAGCAGTAATGTCAGTGCAGCAGAAGCAGCAGCCCTGCCTCCATAGTTCTGGGTGAGGGGACATCTCGTGTTTCCGGGAACCAGGCATCCTAATTCTCTGCTGTACCTCCAGGAGAACGGCTAGTGGTTTTGTGTGGGTCTCTTGTAAGCAATGATTTCTTTTGGAAAAAAAAAACAGTACTTTAGAACTGCTGCATATTCAGTTAGATTTTAAAAATATGCTATAAGAAAAAAAAGCCTTCAAAATTAGGACTTAAACTGAACTAGCAGGTTCTCTTAGATAATGACTACAACAGCATAAGCTAAGGTCAGAGCATCTGATTTCTTGAAACTCCACCAAAAAGGATTCTCTTCTTTTGTATGGATCACATATTAGAGATAGATAGATACATATAAAATGATAGTGGTCTGTACCAAGTTCTTCTTCCTTCTTCCAAGAACATAGGCTTCAGTTCTTTGCTGTGCTCCTGGGACACATGCAACAGAATGGCTTTCATTAACTCAATCTTAAAACCATATAGTTCAGTTTGCCTGTCCCTGATCTGTCCAGAGCCCTCATCCTTTTGGCAGCCTGAAGCCTTCTTCACTTCCAGCATTAAAGTAGTCCCTGTCTGCTAATACTCAAATACTGCTACTCAGCTTGCTCTTGTCTGTGAGTAGGCAAACACCTTACCTTATCTACCTCCAAAAAACAACCTTAATTATGCTCTGATCATCTTCACTGGAATACAGTAATCAAGTTCTTTCAGCTTCTCCTTCCCAGATAAGATAATAAGAAGTGAAGAAACTAATTGTTTGAAGGGTTTTGTTGTGCTGTTTTTTTTTTTCCCCTAATCTTTTGAACAAGCTTCAATTGACCTGCTTTAAGCATGTCCAGCCAGAAGCATGTGCAAAGAAACCCCAGATGAAATCTCAGTTGAGTCATATATTAATATATATATTTTTTATCTCTGTTGGGAGGCAGACCATCAGATAAATCCTCCAAGCTTTCCGATTTTCTCCCCTTTATGTCATCCTTGTGTATTTCATATACTTCTTTCTTTTTCCAGAGAACAGAAGCCCTTTGCAAGTGATATTTCAAACAGTTTGCAGTGCCTCAGTAGGGAAACATCCATTCATTTTCATTAGGAGATGAACCTACTTTGGTAAACACAGAAATCTACAATCCAAATTCTTGGAAGTGCTAGGCAAGCCAAAAAACCTATCCCCTGAAGCTATTATTCCTATAACTTTTTTATTCAGAGTATTTACTGCTTGTTGAATGTTTCTGTTCTTTCCTGCATGCTAGTCAGTTTGTTGCTTCTTTACTGTCCCCAGCTCTTCTGCTTTACTTTTACTTCACTATAAAACTAGAAACGTCATCAGTTTCTGTGAAGTGGGGATATTTTCACTGTCTTAAGATCAATCTTGGCTCAGGACTAGTTTAATTTAGAACAGGTAATGGGTCTGACTCACATCATGCTGTTCGTGTCATTCATCTCCGCTTTGGAACAAGCTTACTAATTTACTTATGACCTGAAAATGTCTGAAATCAAATTATATATAGCATTTTAAAAATATTTATATTGTTAAGAATGATTATAAACATCACCAAATTCCGTCAAGATGAAATTCTGTTGCACAAGTTAACAATGGATACATCTCTTTCTGAAACCTTCCCTTGAACACCTACTTCACAACATCTGGAATGCCTCACACAATATATTCATGACATTTACAAATGACTGAGTTCGACATGCTTCTCCAAGGCTTCCAAAAAGAACTGCTTTTAAAAGAATACACCAAAGAACAGAATGATTCTGTGATCCAAAAGAGGCTTTGGTGAGATTAGTTTCCCTCAGCACTTCAACATCTTTATCTCTGACCTTGCAGGTAAGAAAACATCATCGGTCAGCTACAGCAGGATGAGCAGTCATGTAAGGAATGCAGGCAATGATATTCTCGTCTGTGATCCAGAAATTGGCTTTAAGACTTAGTGAGAGAATAATCACTTTGACCTTTGTGTGCAACATCTTAAAAAAACAGTGAGGAGAGCAAGCATTCACCACATGCCATCAGATGCTAGCACGCAGGAAGAAAAATGTCACTGTTCCCCCTACACATCATCGTGCTGAACAGGAATCTAAAACAAGCAACTGAGGGTGAGGACAAGAGAGAGCCACAGGTCACTGGCAGTGGCAGAGCAGTCACATCTACATCTTGCCAGCACTGCAGCTAGGCAACTTGCCAGCTAGGAGAGAAAGCCTCTGAACAACACTGACCCAGAGCTTACTCAAGCACAGTGGGATGGGAAGGAGAAATAAAGTTAGCCAGACAGCAGGTTTCCTGGCACCACAACTGCATGTTTGCAGGAGTAAGAAGAGACAAGCATGGACTAATTGCTACATAAAGTCCTGTAGCTTTGCAAAGCACACATTCTTAACTTGAAGCCTTGCCGCCTCATATGAGATACATACCAGTGCATGTGCTTAGCTTGGGCCTAAAATCAAAGCACACAGATATCAAAAAGATGTCAAGTGAAGCATTCCTCTTCTGGAGCTGGGCCTCTCATTTATGAGGGGCTTAGCAATGGGAACCTTGCTGTCATTACCACGGTGGCAGTTTGCCTACAAATGCTAAGAGAAAATATTCTGAGGAAAGCCCTTGGAAAAGGCACAGCAAAAGAAAATTAGATTTATGAGATGACAGCAAGTTAGCAGATCCCTGAAGATTACAGACAGCTCTGGAGACAAGAGCGTTAGTCAGTGACGCCACGGAAAGGAGTGGTGGCTGAGGAGCTCAGGAGCTGCCCAGTGTTGGAGCCAGCGAGGCACAGGACCTGATGGTGGACTCAGCTGAAGGCAAACGATGTGACACAGTCACTTTTACATAAACATATGTAAGCAAGTAAAGAGGCCAAAATGTGTACTTGAAGCTTAAACTGATGATGGCAGGTCCTCTTGGATTCAATTTGTCAGGCTGCAGATGGCCGCTTGTGCTTCATTGGTGTGATGCCATGCAGTGGAAGAGAAAAAAAAGGATTGAGTGATATGCAGGGATCCTTATTTTTATATCCTGTTTCTCAATGGGATGTTTTCTTGCTTTCACAAAGGAATCATGAAGAAGGGACAGACACAGTAGACTTGAGGCTTACAGAATCTTATCTAGTCAAAACAGAAAGACGTGTATTTGATACTAAATGTCATGAGACAGAGGCACTACTCCTTACAGAGAGCAAATGAGAGATGCTAAAGCTTGGAGTTGTCTTTGAAACTAAATCCTAGAAGTTGCTCTAATAACCTCTTGCAAAATGGCTACTAATCTTTCTTTCTTTGTAATCATTCAAGCTGTTTGTGTATCACTCCCCCCTACCCTGTGTCAACAGCAAAGTGTTTAGAGTCCCTAATGCTAAGAGCCTGTTAAGACTAAAAAAACCTTAAAACACTCTTTATTCTTCCAGCTGTAGACATGTATAGGTGATTTACTTATTTCTTGCCATTCAGCTCATACTCAAGAGTTCTTAAGAGGTAAGGCAAACTCTTCTGATACCACTATTGATACATAATGGTTTCTTTTGGGGGTGAAGCTACTATAATTATCTGTACTTAAAAAAGATCAGGGATAGTAGTGAGTCATGATTTTCTTTCCATATATTTCTACAGTTCAAAGCAGATTATCCTTTATCACCCGTTGGACTTGTATTGCTTAACATTCTCCTCTGTAGTGGTCATAGAGAAGCCAACTGCTTTCTTGTTAATCTAAGTTTATCCTGGTTTTGTTCGCTTTAGACTTAGAGCGGAATGAGGGAGGAAAAAATGTCTGTTATTCAGCAAGACATCAGTCATGAAAGTATGGCCCCACAGCCACATGGTATGTAAATATCTTAGTTTTTCTTCTGAGGTGAAAAGCTCTTGTGACTTGAGATAGGCCTTAGTTGCACACTTGTGGGATGTCCTGGTACTGCTAAAGCAAAAGTTGCCAGGCTTTTTCCTTTCCTGCAGATTCCTCCTTAATCTAGAACCTTCTTTAACCACTTGCCCCATTTCCACCTTTAAATCAGTAGATACATTCAACACAGAAGAACCCACATTTGCAGATTACCACAAGCCTGAGTGAACCCTCACAAATATGCAGCTTAACATACATTCTCTTCACTAAGTTCAGAGGCAAGGATTGTGCCTTTGCTAGCTAAGATGTCTTTGGCAATACAACTGCTCATAAGGAGGCTGGAGATTGCAGGTGACAAAAAAGGGACGCTGTGAATTGGAGAAGCTAGCTCACAGCTGCCTTTCTGGAGAGTGATTCAAAGCTCACCAATAGGTCAACCCTAGAATATAAGAAAGTGTCAAGCAGGCTACCTGCCGTGTTTCCTCATAAATTTATTGAAGGGAGAAATGTTGGCCTCTGAACAGTATCAGCAAGAAAAAAAAACAACCAACAACACTTCTTATAACAAATCCAGAAGGCCTTGCTGAAAAAAGCTCTTCCAAAGATGATTACAATGCTGGAGCATGTCCTAACCAGTAGACCGTTGACTGTATCTCAGAAAGCTCATATAAGAACAAGCCGGCGAATGCTGAAAGGTCGTCATGCTTTCATGCTTTGAAATAAAAAGCTCTGAAGCAAAATGTCTGCCCACAAGTATATAAAGAACAGTGGTGCCGTGAGCAGGAGTGCTTCTAGGTTATATTTCAAGAAGATGAGATTCATGTAGAAAATCAATTATTCAAAAATAAAGCCACACTTGCACATGCAACCAGAACTGTAGCATGTAACCAGAGGTGTCTCAAACTACAGAAGACAGTCATGCACACATGAAAATACCTAGATAGTTCCACATGCAGCTTTTGTCCTTTCTGTAGCCACCTTGTCGCACATGCAAAGTAGTGAGTAATCAGCACAATACTTAGTACCACTCAGTGAACCATTTTTCTGTAAATGTATTCTCTTTTCATGCTCACTCTATGTGCATGTTTATGCACATTTATCTTTTGTATTAGAGAAGCAATTGAGAAATGTATTTACCTGGAGCAAACAGAAGGGTTTTTGTGGATCTTAAAAATGTTTTATGGTTTAAACTTCCTTTCTCTTCTAAAGCAAATGCTTCAGACTGCGAAACCGTCATGACTGGACATAAATAGGGGCAAGCTGATCATGCTGCCATAGTAGACTTGTGGCTACATGTTATCAATCATTTTGTACTATTGAAGAGCAGACTAAAATTGACAGAAACATCTCTGTGACAAAAAACTGAGGTTATTTTAATGGGCTTCAAAAAAAGTATGAGCAAGAGATAAGAGATTAAAGTTTGATAGCGAAGATGATCCATACACTGAGAAGGGAAGATTTATTCCCTACCAACTGTGGGGCAGCCTACAGACAGTGCACGGGTGCTAGTGAATGAGGGAACGAGGGAAACCAGCTGTCTTCCCAAGCTCATCCCATGTTTATCAGGTTCTTCCTGCTATCACTGGCAGCAGGTTTGAACTCCTCTCCGTAAGCAGCTTCTTGGTCGGTGGATTGCAATTAACTCAAGTGTTCCAAGTCATTTCCAGAATGCTAGAGTGGATGAGGAAGTGAGGTGGTTTGATGAAGTAAATTACAAAAGCTAATAACAGGGCAAGGACCAAATGACTGTCTGAGACTATCAGGATGTGATCCCTCAAGGAAGGCAAGAGTTTGAATGGGATGAAAACAAGGAGAGATGTGCTTGCCCACACATCCCTTCCAGAGGCTGAGACTAGAACAAGGGATCTGAGCCCTGCCTTCCCTTTGCTGCCAGTAAATTACCTGGGAAATCCATGTGCACATCCATGATGCCCTTCCCTGCCCAAGTCAGATATTGGTAGCTACTTGTGAGCAGATTGGATGCCTGTGTAACTAAACTGTTTCAGTACCCAACAGACAACAAGGCAAAGCAAATGAACCACAGTAGTGAACTGAAAAGACTACTGTGTGGAAAGGACATGTATTTTATGTCATCACAGTAACCAAAACACCCTTTGTGTCTGCTGAGTGTCTTCTCAAGGCAGCTATCTCTTTTAAAGAGATAGAGACGCTGTTATTAAGAGACGCTCTGCAAACCTCCATTGTAAAATGAGAGGTAAGATCTCTCTTTTTCCACACTGAGGAAATTCCAACACTCAATTTCCTTCACACTAGAAGGCTCCTTGGATCCTGAGAACCTCAAATTGTTTGCATTCTTTTCCCCAGCTCTGCCCCCAAGACTCTAGAGTTGCATATTGCTTGCTCAGGTAGCAAAGAATACGCTGTTCCACTGCACACTTCTAAAATGAACATGAAAGGGACTTCACAATACTTAATTAAGTACATAACTGATTTCCTAACAAGCCATCTCAGTACACTGAACTTGGGAATTGTTGTGTTAAAAACAGAATATTATCATGTAAGAAAATTGTATCATAATCACAAAAGCCAAAGTGATTGAAATTAATATCAGAAATACCAAACCTCTGAGTCCTTGTACAAAGTAAAGTCCATGTTAACTGTCCTTAACTACACTGCCCTTCTAGATTGCACTGATCTTTTTTGAGAAGTTCATAGATTCCCAGTTGCTTGACTCTCTCACCAGAGAGAGTGGTCTTCAGGTTTGATTTATCATGTACAGTATGTTACATCGATCACAATATTTGCTTTCAGCAATTCACTGAATTTGAGCCTATGTAAAATGTCACCAACATCTAATGCCATCTAAAGCCTAGCACTATTCATGCCAACATATTTTAGAACTAAATAACGTATGAGCTGGAACAACTACTGCATTTTACTTGGAAAAATTATCTGGAAACCTTTCTGGTCTAAATTATGTTTAATTGCTTCAACCTCTCTTATTGCTCTGGGACATGTTCTCCTCTGAAGCACTGACCTAGCTAACACTGTTTCTTCTCCACCATAATCACACTGCAGTTCACAGAACTGCAGACAGCTATCAAGTTCTTTTTTTTTTTTCCAAGCTATAAATATTTCATTTCTATAATATTTCTCCTTACGTAACGGACATTTTATTCCCTGTTAACAGAACTGAAAATGTAAAGTGTCTTCCTGCCCTGTAATACTATAATACTGTTAACTACTTATTTTCTCTTCAAATGTGCTAAACACTTTTTAATTGGTGACAGAGGGAATGGTAATGCTGGACTTGTGCAAGCCTGTCTTGCATCTGCAGAACTACAGTTTCAGATCAAAGGCTCCCAACTTCTTGGAGCATATTGGTATGGCACAGCAGTGAAAATCTTCGTAACAGGCAGGGAGCTGCCTGAGGCCTGCCTCAGTTCAGCTCACCTTACCTTCCATGGCTAGAGAGCAGCAGCTGCCATTCACAGAAACAGAGGTTATAAAATTAAGACACTGGTCCCTGATTTGCAGCAGAATGAAAGAAGGGCGAACACAGTGAGACTACAATGCAAATACAGAAATGATCTAATAAAATACAAACATAAATCCTATATTTTTGGGGAAGTAAATGTCAAATACTGTCACTAAAAACAACAGTGGATGGAGTGAAATTTTGCCCCTTGTGCCTACATACTCTACTTATGTGACTTTATTCAGGAAAAAAAAATGGTCGCAGTTAGGGTGTTGTGTTTGACATATGGCCCACAAAACCTGAACTGTACTAAAAAAAACTATGTACAAGACATCAGAGGCAGGTAACTGAGAAAAATGTAAACATTAATGCGCCATCCAACTTGTATGGATGTTCTTTCTGCATCTCCACTGGAAGCTTTTCAGAGCAGTAAAATTGAAAAAGGTTGGAAACAACGGCCATAGCAATTCAACTGCAAAGCAAAAGAGCTCTCTAGAGCGAGTCATTTGAAATTAAGTTGTGCGTTACAGTTTATTCTTGCCAGTTCCAACAATGTAGTCAAAACACTTCCCACACTAAAAGCTGGACCCTTGTCGAGCCACCAACAAGAAATGGTGCCATATCAGCAAAGCAAACTGGGCATGCCATCACCCCTTCTCCAGCAGTAATACTCCTGCCAAACAAGAAACAGTGAATTACTCGCATAATATTGGAGAAAATAATTAAATATTATTTCATTCCATTCTAACACTATGTTTTATTTTTAGCAAACTGTTGTTTACTCTCCAGTATTTGTCCTTTGTCTTTTCCAGTATGCTCTTGAAATGGGTATGGAAATAAACTGCGTTCACAAATAGCAATGCTGTACTTCAGCATTCCTTGAAACCAAAGGCTTGTTTACACCTTGAATTAATTTGTAGTTAACATTTTATGCAGGCACTTTTATTTTACTGTATATCAGAAAGGAACTAATCAAGAAAAACTGCACATGCAAACAAACTTTAATGTAGGGTAACAAGGCTCTGTGCAAAATCTTCCACAGCAGTGATATCACAGAGCAAACAGAAGGTGGAGAACTGCAGAGCTCTGCTGTTTCAGGAGCAGAAGTTCATGGGCCATTCAGGTCTCTTGTTCCCATGGCCATTCTTTTTAATTCTCAAGCTAATGGTTATGGAATGGCTATTGGAAGAGGCAGCAGCAGCCTATACCATAGCTACAGGAACATGTCAGTAGAAGATGAAGCAAGCAGAAAAAAATATAATCTGCTAGTGTGCTTTCATATTAATGTCCCTGCTTCTCCCTCCCCAAAATCCACAGCATTCCATGTACTGAAAGGACGAGGTACCAATACCTAGTTAGATTAATTCATTGAAATCTAAGGTCATCACAAATTTTCCTTTTCTCTTTTGTACAAATGCATGTTCTGACATGCCATTTAAACTGGAATTGAGCTTAGCAGTAATATATGCTATTTAAGAACATCACAGATTTCTCAAAGTAGCTACAAAGCAAAATCTGTTTGGAATTGCTCAGTTTTATGCATGGAGGTTTCTGCATGAGTTGGCAGCTATATTTACATTTTCTATTTATACAGCAACTTACATCCATGTTTTACAAACATGAAGGAATAAACTTTGTAACTGCCTTGTGAAACACAACTCTATTTTGGAACTGACAAGACTCACACAAAGAAAGGGATAAATGCCTTGTCTAGGATCAAGTCAATTAATAGTTAGAATCTATACTTTCAGAGCTGGAGCCTAGCATCTGTGCCTTCTTTGCATATAGAAGCAGTCACTTATCTTCAAATAGTCATAAGACTGGTCATGCCATTCAAGGTTTTGTACACATCCAAGTTATCCATGTAGCAGCAAAGTGAGCAAAGATTAAAAATAAATGAGTTCAGATCAAATTAAATGTAAACAGAAATGCTTTTGAGAAAGAAATGAACAAAAGACCTGAAACTATTTGACTCAGAAAAAGAAGTTTTGCTTTTTCTTCTATGATGCAGAGTACGGTGGTTCAAAACCTTTTCGAAACTCAAGTTTTGAAACAATGCTTTAAAATTAGACTTGGGGTATATCTGTTCTTACTGATTCTGTTTTCATCTACTGGACTTCACTGAAGGAAGGGGAAGACTTCAAGTGCCCTGTCCCCCAGCATGCAGCTGGAGTACTTGGCCACAACATGATTCTTCCACAGGGAGGGACTGGGATAAGTCCAGAAAGAGCCCTCTGTCCAAGGGGGACCACTAGGGCAATATAGTAAATACCCCTGCTCTCCCAGCACACCACTTAATCTTCTGGTAGGGAGAATAGCTTCCAACCCACAGACCAAGAAGTTTTATAACAACCTACTGGGCAAATTCTGATTGCGGGGAGGGGAAAGGGGGGGAAACAGTGAGGGTGGAAAGCAAAGAGCTGATCAATCTTGTGAAGGAAGGAGAGGGCTGGATGAAAAAAAAGGTACTGATGGAGCACGCTACAGATCCTACGTCCAGATTAGATATTCTACAGCACAGCAGCACAGAGCACAGCAAGGAATGGGCTCCTCATTCTGAGGATCGTTCTGACAATTTCTAGTAATATCCAAGCAGATCCACAACTCTACATTACCTGTTTATTTTGTGTCATACCTGTTACCAAATGAAAATACATATCAGTTCAGCTGCTGAGAGAATGCATCTTTGTTACAGTTAAGAACAATAATGCACTGCTGAGATTTAGCTTTTGTCTGCTAGCACTTTATTAGATCTTTGACTTCTCCCTGGATCTCACTGTGTGCCACTTGCTGTGAAACTCTAGCAAATGCTCTGTATGACTGGTGTGTCTGGCATTTAATGCCCACTGCAACTAACCACGTAACCATGCAGCCACATAAGCATAATTAATCACTCACGTACTCTCAAGAACTGTCCACAGGGTCTGCAGAACATTTAGCACTGGCCTGAAACCTCCAAGTGCTTTGCAGACAACTGTTTAGCAGCCAGGGCTGTAGGACTCAGGCTGGCATGGAAGATGCGCTTTGCCTAGAAACAGAAAGTCTCTGAAGCATGAGTGTTCAGATCAACATCCTGCAAATCACAACTTTGTGCAGGTTTAGTTTCTGATTCTATACAATGCCTTCAGATAAGACTTAATTTACTAATTTAATTTAAAATTTCTTGTAGTCCATATTAGTTAAAAACAAATCGAGTATTTCCATCATACTCACACTTTGCTAGTGGTAATAGCATACAGTCATCGTCTACACTAATTACAAGACCTTGCTGGGTTCCTTGTTTGTGTGATATTAAAGTCCTGCAAAATTTCATTGAGTCACTGACCTCTGGCAGCAGCAGTAACAGGAGTACTTAGCACTTGCTCAGCACCTTTCATCTTAGAGCACTCCTTATGGTCCTGTGACACAGAAGCAGGCATACGAATACACTTCAAAGCCAGATGAACTGTGGCACAATGAGGTTACGAAACCTGGCCCAAATCCCTCCAAATGCTTGTTCTGAAAGTCCAGACAATAACACTTACCCCAAAATGAGCTTCATAAAGTATTAATCAAAATGTTTAACCCCCTACCAGTTTGCAAATGGCATGGACAGAAGATAAACTCACTAATTCTTTTTGATACATTATTCATGACTTGTTCAGCTTTTCTGGCAACTTTTTTTTTTTTTTTTTTTAAGGAAAAACAAAGAGAAATGCATTTAAATACAAGAAAAAAAGTTTGTTTTTTGAAGAATTATTAGGAAAAAATAAATATATATTAGAATCCAAAATCTCTATCACTTCCTTTATAGTTCACCTGCCTGATCCCAGCTACTGAACTGTGCTCAGTTCCCTGCAGGACACAAACTCTCCTGTGATTTCAGGAGAAATTGGCAGTTGGACTCTGCTTGCCTGGGTTCAGTTTCCAAGTAGCTGCATGCCACTGAACACTATGTCTGCATGCCTAATAGTAGTGTTTGAAAATAAAGTTACCTAGCCAACATCAGTTGAAACTAAAGATTCAGGGCCCAGCTGCATTGTAGTGTAAACGGACAAAGCACCCCTGTTCCAGTAGATAACTAGAAAAAATAAGGGACCACTACAGATAGGTCACTGAGGGTCCAGATACTGCAAAGTATTGCCATCTGCCTGATCTCTCCCATGAGCAGCAGACAGTCACCAGCTGTACTTGCAAACTGTATTTCATCCTGCTGAAGGCTAACAGTGCACTTCTGAGGAAGCCACTTAAATAAACTACACCTCACCTCAACCCCTTGGTAATAGTTCTAATACAATACATAAACTACAAATTAGCCCATCATGGTATACATGAGCAGCTCTGAAAGTGTGTTACATAGAAAACCGACGAGGAAAGCAACAGATTTCTGAATGCACAGGGTTACACCCAGCTATTTGCTGGGTGAGTTGTTTGAGGCTGTGCTCTACTTCCCCACATGGGAGCAGTTGATCTATTTCCTTCCAAGTACACTTTACAACATTTTCCATAGAAGTCAGGAATTGTAGTGCAAATCCTGATCTAAAGCACCCGGTAATAGTGAATCCGGGGATAAGGTTCTAAGAGTGAAACGCTCTTGCCGGCAGAACGAAGGCACTAATCTCTTTTCTGCTGGTGCCAAGCTCTGTCCTGTGCATTTGTGGGTGTACATAAGGATAAGTAAATAAACACATACCTGCACATGCATGCATAAGCACAAACACACTGTTTCTGCAGAAAAGGGAAAATGGTTATTTTCATGAAGGCCTTTCTCTCAGAAGAAAATTTCCTAAAAGATATGTGAATAAATTGTAAGAGAAATGGGTTGCAGAAGGTAATGGAAATGGATCAGAAATGGTTTACTTCACCAATCTGCTGGCAATCTACCCTGTCATACATTAGGATTACTTTTTTTAGTACAAAAAGATACCAGGTATTTGTCTAAGAAGGTTTCACGAGCTGAACAGACGAGGTCAGATGACCAAACTGGAATAGCTCTGTAATACAGCCTTGGCATGAAGTGCTGCTGGACAAGGGTTCCAGGGTCACCAGGAGACTCCTCTCTGGCTACAGTGGTGCTGAGCAAACTGCAGGAGATGAACCTGCCAGCTTTCATGAGCACTGCTCCAGCGCTTTTTACTTCCTACCAACTAAACAAAATTGTCAAAGAAAACATATGGTACAGGACAAGGATGGCAGTCACAAAATACATTCTGCAAGTACTCCGTATACCTTAAAGTTGCAAGAAATCCAGAGACAGCAACATTAACAACTATCTGGCAGCTTCCTACTGATGTTGGCTGTTGAACAAAACTAATCGACACCTAGAAAAGTCCTTCCAGTAATAAAAGACTGACTGTGTTTTGCACTCTTCAGACCCAGGCTAATATTGTTAGGTTTTGTTACAAAGGCTGTAATTTGAATACTTCTTCCAAATACCCTTCCTGCTTGACAAAGCAATGTATGAACACAACATACCAAAAAAGTTTCTGACTTAAGGTATTTTTAAACACCTATCCTCCCTGCTCACGCAATGTACATTCTCTGCCTCATTTTTTGCAGTCATCTCTCACTTCTGATCTCTAGTTCTCCTGTTTCTTTTACAGTACTGTCCAGAGGGGTTCACTTTACTTCGTGATAATTTGACTGCCGTTATCATTCCTAGAAATCTTTTTTATCCGAAGCATACATTCACTGAGGGACATACCGGAGCCCTTTCAGAGCTATCAGTTGGCACATCCATTCATGTGGCTTCCTTTCAGGCCTTTCATTAAGATTATTACAGTTTTGGAGAGCAGAAAGGTGACTGGCTCAAAAAGCCAATGTATTTTCAGCAACACAAGTCCTAATATCCTATGTGTGTTAAAAATAATGCATGTAATACAAGTAAAACTTCAATGGAATTCAATGCAATTACTGTCCTTTTGACAATAAGAGGATTTCTTCTGACCTGGAGTGGCTTGGTCCCTGCCTCAGTTTCCTGATTTCCATGTAGGTAAGCTCTCACTAGGCTGGTACAAAATGCCTCTTTACAGCTCCCACTACTGATCACAGGTTTTCTTCAGCAGTCTCACTACTTGCTAGATTTTTTCCTTTTTAATTAAACACCTATCCAGTCACTCAAAAATAGGTACCCTAACACCTCCAGAAGGCCAGTCTCAACCTATGCCATGGCTATCAAACAAAATCCACTTTCTGAGATGTTTTTGCATGCTGTTGTAAAAGATAGATAAGCTAGATAAGTATCATCCGCATATTAACATCCCTGCTGTGTAACTCATTCCAGATCACACAGAAGAGCTCACTTATACAATTGAGGTCTTTTGTTTGTTATTTTTTCATATTCTAGTTCAGAGCATACCGAAGATAGGATGTTCCTAACAGATTGATGTGGGTTTTGAATGAAGCTGACCTTGTATGAGTTCACTGAATACATGCACCTGTCACATGGCATTTGCTGAACGAACTATTTTCAATTTAACTTCTGTTGTATGTATTTTTGTGGCATAATTATTAGCATTTAAGTCACCATTTCCCTTGCTGCTTCTACCTTTTCTTTTTTTCCCTAAGCATGATTTACAAAAGACTGATTCAGTAGGAAGGTACTCAGTTGTTAGACAAGGATGGAACTGCAATTTTTTCACATCACAGCTTATTTAGATTTAAAGGACTAGGAAGCAAAATGAGATTAAGATAAGCATGATAAACACATGATAACTGTTTTTTCCTACTGTAATATGTGTCCTTTGGTTTTCCTCTTCATAAACAGGTGAAAGTACGCATTAGTTTTCTGGTATCTTTGCTTATGGAGTATGGGAGCAGGCACCTACTCCAGTGACAAACCAAGAGCTCCTGAGTGATCTGGAAAACTGAGTGATCTGGAGCAAGGCGAAAAGCTGTACAGAATGCGATACTTATTGTGGTTGCCCAGTTTAACATCAAGAGCTTACAGCGTTCTGGTTAAAAGGTGGTGTGAGCCCCTGTATCACAGCCGGACACACGGCTGGGGCCTCACCTGTCATAAACACCAAACGGAGAGACCACAGAGCTCTCTGCAGCATGATGCTATGACAGATGAGCATCCTTAATGAAGAGCAAAAGAGCAGAGGACAAGTACGAAAGGTTGTAAGCCGGGATCAGGACATCCCGGGATTCCCCACAGCACTCGGGTATCTGAGCAGGGCTGAGGTGCACGTACCCGCTAGCTGTCTCAAGCAGGGCCGCGGCCAGCAGCACGGTATCACCGGCCCGCAGCCCCGCGGCCACCCCCGGGACGGCCGCCGCACGCCCTCCCTTCGGGACGGCCCCGCGGGGGGACCGCGCCGCTGCAGCAGCGCCGGGCGGTGACGGGGGAAAGAAGCGCAGAGCCCCTCGAACGCATTATGTAATGTCACGTTATATAATCCCGAAATGCACGGGGGAATTAAAAAGTCCTTCCCCGTCAGCCTGAGGTCGGGGCAGCCCCGGTGCTCCCGGGCTGGCGGCAGAAGACGGCGGGGCCCGGCCCGGCTGCGCTTTGCGTCGCGTCCCTGCCCGCTGCGGCCCTGGGGGAGGGCGGGCGGCGGCGCCTTACCTGCTCCCCGAAGTCGATGGCGATGTTGGTGATGCCCAGAGGGACCAGGAAGCGGATGAGGGGCCAGTAGTTAGTGAGCGCTGGAAATTTCACCATAGTCCCAGCTGCGCGGTGGCCCAAAGCACATCTGCCGCCGCGGGAGACCGCGAGGGAGGACGCCGGGACGAAGGATGAAAGGGCAGAGGAGGAGGAGGGCGCTGCGTGTCCGCGTGCGGGAGGACGGGAGCGGCGACGCGGACGCGGACCCCCGGCCGCCGGGGCCGTCGCTCGCTGCTCGGCGCGGCGCGGCCCTGCCGGGTGCTGGCTGGCGGCGGGCGCTGTGCTGCCGCCTCAGCAGGAGACCCGGGAGATCAAGTCCATCACCGCTGCCCTCCTCCCACACAACAATGATCCGCCGCCGCCGCCGCTGCCGCCGCCGGAAAAAAAAAGAGGAGGGACGCGGCCGCCAGCCTCTTCTGCGGGCAGCGCTGCCATCCTCGGGGCGCGGGGGCAAGGGGAAGGGCGCGGAGCGGGCCCCCCCTCGCCCCGCCTGACGCTCGCCGGCGGCAGGGCGACGGCCGCGGCGCCGCTGAGG